TGTGTGTGTGAGGGAGAGAGGAAGGATCTCAATTAATCTCTTGCATTACTGCAGTCATTTCCACTCTCTTCATCACCAGAAGCATGTGCTCTGTGAGATTTAAAATATTTAAATCTGTAATCTGTCAGCATTATGAGGTTAACGCACACTCGCTAGACTGGTGTCCTATCCGTCACCACACTTTCCACTTCGCATGCCCCCACATATATCACAAGGACCCGACGTGGCCTTTTGTGGATCTGGCTGGAAAAGACTTTGCGGCCGGCGTCTGTAATTTCTCAACAGCGGTACAGACATGCTGCTGGACCCTGGAGAAAAATTAAGGGAAATGCGCGCGGCTGAAAAAAAAAAAAAAAGCTGCGGCACAGTGAAGCGCGAGGAAGCCTCTAATTGTTTCCCCAGTGTATGTGACCCAGTGACTTTGGAGGAGTTCTTCCTTGTTCTTTTACTACGGGTAAACCAGCATTCATTATTGATTAGGTGGCACAGACTCTTATACAACATGGTCTTATGAGTGGGCCTAAGTGTTTTGCCACTTTGGTTTGCAGCTGCATTAGAGCCCCACTAATATACCCTTATTCACCTTTCTTAAACATAGTGCCATATTTTCCTAAAACTCTGAATTAATAACCAAGAATGAATAAATTGAATGGGATTAAAGCTTGAACGACAGTAACCCATAAAGTATATGAATATTAGGTTGATGGAAGACACTCCAACGTAGCCCATTTAGCCAGCTCCATGTCATGTCTTCATACGACAGGCTTTTACTAAGCTCCTTAAGAGCCTGCCCCAGGGGATCTATGGTAGGCTGGAGGTACTGACTCAGGCCTTATCTCCACCAATTTACCCCATGAATTAGACGGGGCCCTTGCTTCTGTGTCCTGCCAGACCCACACAATACTCACTCCATGTTAAGAAAATGAGGAGAGAAAGGGGCTTAGTGATTGCTTAGTTGGATAAGAAGCTGGGGAATTGACAGGGGAAAGGCACACTGCCACGTCAACTTTACCTGGACAGTAACGTTCATCCCCTGGATTTAAAAGCGTTGATTTGCTGTCACTTGTCTGTATATTTTCAGGGTGGATTAAGTGGAATAAAATGAAATTTGAATCATACGGATTAAGGTGAACTTCTCAAAAAACAAACAGCCAGGGCTTCACCCCTGTCAGCCACAAAGTAAGGACAGACTGACTGTTCTTTTGTTCATTTCGCACTTAACTTTGATATTTTTTTGACAGGCATTTTAAAATTCAAATGAGTTGGCAAGCTACAGATGTGGACTTTTAGAGGACAGAAAAGTGCAGGACCACAGAAATCTATACATAAATTGGAGAGCTAGTTGTTTGTCACATCATACTGCATGTGCTAGTGGAAAACAAATCATTATTCATAGTCATAGTCTGCAAATAACTGTGACACACAAACTTCCACATACTGGATACTGATTCCTGTATTCCTGTATGACTTAAAAATGTCATTCATGTTGTTTGCATGTTCAACAAGAATGAAATTGACATCATCCTCCCAATCAAAGCCTATGTATGTCTTAAATACAGCTTTGCATCCGAGAGCCTCTTTCCCTATCATGACAGTCTCCCACCCCCACCTCTCCTTGTGATGCATTTTTAAAAAGTCTCCTTTAAAAAAAAGGGAAGCAATCAAAAATAGCTCCTCGCTGCTGCCGCATATTTGGTCACATCCCTGATTTTAACTCAGTAGGTTTCATCCTCTCTCTGTATTATTGAATGTAAATTGTCTAATTAATAAATAAATAATAAATAGATAACTTCTGGCAGACAGTGAGTGGCGACATACTGTGTGACATCTGCTTTGTAGTTAGAATGGCGATGTCCAAAAGAATCTTGTTTACTAAGCAGACATTGGTCTTTGGCAGGGAAACCTGTTAGTCAAGGGAGATGTTTTTGGGCCATGAACAATGTAAAATCTCTGTTAAATATGTTATGTGCAGTAGTCTTGAGGCGTATCTTTGAGCCTCAGGCCAAAACTATTTTGTTAGTCAAACAAAGACGCTTTCATCTTTTTACAGATTTAACAAATACGTCTTATTCATTATTAAAACGAATATGACACAAGTGTATCTTGTGAATTGCAGCTTGTTTCGAGCAATACTTAAAAACAATCTTGGTATTTTTCTGCAATTCTGTCACAAAAGGTGTGATTTAATGAATGTGAAAGCGCATCCTCCTGAGCAAATATGAAGAGACAAGTTTATCCTCCTTCATTAGTCACTGTACATCTATGTCTGTGGATAGCCAGATTATGAAAGAGCTCAGTTGTCACGTCATGATACACAGTTTGACTAGTGTTTTAATTTATTAATTAATTATGTGTTTTCACTGCACTACACACTGTTGTGTGAAAACCTGAATGACTTTGAATCATTTACATTTTAAGTGGTAATAACATAAAGACTAAATTATCTCTCTAAATGAACCCTTTGCACCAACAGAAGAGGTGACAGTTCAAATGAAGTCTGTAAACTATATGTCCATTTGGTAAGACATTTCTAAACTGTGTGTCTTCATGAGCATCAGCCATCCAAGCCAATACAATCCTCTTGTTTAATTGGTAACTTGGTGCAAAAACTAATCTGCATTAAATCCAAATTCTGCCTTTTTCTGTTTGTGCATATGACATTGCAAAGTTGTGAAAACAGTGCTAGAACAATGACAATTTTTTCTCGGTTGTGAGATAGGCAGTGATAGGACATATTTTTCAGAAGGTCAGAGGTATCCATTTGGGAAATTATTCAGCTCCTGCTCCTGCTGCTTCAAGACAACACGTCAAACACAATGAAGAATATTAGAAAACACAAATAACCTTCCACAGCCTCTCTCATATGTGCAGCAACACACCTCTGCATATACACAGAGGAACACACGCGCTCTCACACCTCCGGCCACGCGTCTGGATGTGAGAGCAATAACGAGAGCATGCTGAAAGAGAAACTGAAGGCTAAAGAACACAAGGCCTCTTGGGCCAGAGACCAATGAGTGGCTCATCCATGTTAAGTCAGGCCAAGACATACTCAGGTGAATTCACTTTAGGTCAGGACGAAGCCTTGCTGACCTTTGCAGCAAACAGGAAGCCGCATGGAGCTTTTCTTGAGCAGTCCTGAGACTTACAGGGTAAACAACAGACTCAATGCTGCACTTTGAAATGCTGCATCAAATGTGTGCTTGTGAGTGATTACATGTTGGCCCCAATCTTTCCAGCCTTGCATGTCTAGTTAATGAACACATTCAGCATTCTTGGTAATTTTTCTCCAACAACTGAAACATAAAGCTTAAGAAAAGGAGTGAAGAATGGATATTAAAACAGCAGGGAGGCTTGAAAAATAGCACTTTGCTGGACTAGAATACAAACAGTGAAGGGCCAGAGAGAGAATTCACAAGCAGCAGCAGCAGCATGCATAATCCTTCACATGATATTGAAGACACACATACAATATAAATGAACACAATTTCCCTGCAAATCAAATCAAAATCCAAAGGGTCCTAATCAAATTTTATAGGGTGGTTTTAAAATGCGCTCAACAAAAACTAGGGATTCTATGTGTCTGTGTTATTATTACCCATTAAGGGCTTCTTTCATCAATAGTGTGGTATGCATGCCAAATAAAAGGCTGGAGCATTTCCTAAAAGCTTACGTTTCAGACAGGGACACATTGCTTATTCAACCAATCACCATGACAACTCTTGCTAGACATGTTCACTTCCTTATCCCCCCCTTTTTTTGGTATTCAACTCTCACAGTTAATTATTCTTTCTACCATAGACTACAATGCGGCTATTTATCTCTGCGCTTCTGCCATGTGTCCAGGAATTCCAGATTGTAAGAAAGTAGAGGCATGAGGCCTGCAGGATCATTATAGTGGTTTAAATTTAGCACTATACTGTCTTCCTCAAGCAATTTGTGCGTAGTTTATAGCTTCCGGAGGAATTATAAAGATTGAAAAGTGAGGATGTTTACTAGGTAAATTTAGCACAGTCATAAAATTAGATCATAGACTGAAAAGATGAAGATTTATAGGCTGCTACATCAAAAACATGAAAGAAAAGAATGAAAATAATACATGTATGCACCACATTAATAAAAGATATCAATTTAAGTTCACTCTCTGTGTCACTCTAAGTGGCAGAAAGCAACATCCTTAATTTCATTGAACCTTATGCGTTACAATTAAGCATTAAGAGCAGAGCAAGCTATGTATTTATCCTACAAAACTTCCAATCAAATCATGCGCAAAACTTAAGAAAAAGGAGAGGAAAATGGGTATCCCCACGCATGTGGCAGATTATCCTGCCCCTCACCTCAACAGATGAAGGTATATAGCTGGCTACAAACTGGTGGCAGACCACACTCGCATTAGAAAATATTTGATCTGATGTCATTGGCGTTTTCATTAAGTAATGCTTCGTTTTATTTACATTCAACTTCAGAGCTTGCAATTGCATTTGCCTAAAGCAAGTCACTTGGATATTTCCATTTTTTGTTATACGGAGAGCAGAATGAGAGAGAGAGCCGGCGCGTCACTGCTCCATCACGCACACAGTATTTTTATACCCAAGTAACAAGTGCCCTGAACAATCACCACCAGCATTTATTTTCTGCACTGGCGTTTGTAGTGCAGATGTATTGTAACATGTAACATATGCCACTGTGGGCAAAACACACGCACAGTTATATCCAGCATCCAAATCCCTGCCTCTAAAGAGGGAGATTCGGGACTCACAAAATCCAAATGCGTTTTGGAAGTATACGTGCTTCGTGCCGGTTGACTGCGTCGATGTAGCGTCCCTAAATACCACTCTTTATATTTACAGTATAAAACAGGAAGATAAGTCGTATAATTTGAGTCCAAGTAGCCCGATGTGCCCATTCCCCCCCCGCATCCCACCCCCAATTCACTCCCCGCTTTGACTGCCTCAAGATTCCCCCCCCGGCAGCTCATCAAGTATCATGAAATGACTCACCTGCCTTGTCGAGACGTAAATCCCCCCATGCCTTGCTTTGCTGGAAATAAAAAAGCCGGGACAATGTTTCACTGTTTCGGGGTCTTCACTTGCAGTCGGGTATGCATGTACTCCAAATATCCGTATAGTCTGCGCACTGCTTCTGTTTTCTCGTTAATGACCTTCCTGTGAAGCGATAACGGCTCTCATTATCCTCACTCCGCTGTCATTTTAAGGAATTTCTCCCGTGTTGTTGGGTTTTTTTTTCCCAGAGGAAAGCTCTCCTCCTAGTCCTGGTGCGTTTTGATGCTTTTGCCTTGACTCTTCGGCTCAACACGAGCTTCTCGGGAGCGCGCAGCGCGGTCCCGGCTGGATATTCGGGAGCGTCCGATTGGAAATGGAGAGGAGAGTTACTAGGTAACCAAGGGCACACGCATCATACATGAAAAGGAGCAGAGGATTTATGCCTTCCAACTATGCTCTGCCTGTCTTTGACAAGTCATCAAAAACTGCCTTTTTTTTTATCATGTTTCACTGATGGCCACACTTCAGCGTCTCACAAAAAGCACACTATCACCCTGCTAAGGCATCACCCTTCCCAGGGCGAGCTGGTGTTGTAGGGGAATTCTTACATTCTCAGAGTTATTACGTTTTCTAGGAAATTACTTTTTAAATCAAGATTAAATCCTACTAAAGATAAGGTATTTACAAAGATAGCAAGCGGTTAAGAGCAGGGAATAGGACTTTTATGAGGCTGGAGAAAATTAATGAATGAAGAGGAGGCAATGCAAAAGTTCCTTAAATGCTGAATAGGCTGGTTAGAAGCCTAATAAAGTACAGAATAGTTCTTTGCAGGGATGTGGTTGATCTTGCATTTCTCACTCAATAACTCTAGGCTATTAAAGCTGCTTTATTTGATTTCCATGGTCATGATTGCGAGCCAATAACGTAATAGAAAAAATATAAGGGGGGGGACTATCATTAACAGTCCTCTTAAAAATATCCTTCTTATGGAGGTGAGATGAAACAAATCAGTTAAATTGACAAGCAAGTTCACTTGACAAAAAAGGATCACTTTTGCTTAATTTATCAAAATCATTATCATCATCATGTATGTACAAGAGGGCTTTACCTGTGTGTATCCTGAGTCATTAAAACAGGTGCTGAGCATCATTTTGATCTGATCCACAGTAAACCTTATTACTACATTTTCTAAGACGCTTCCTATAATCACAGCTGAAACTCCTTCATGGATTTTGTTTTATGCAAACAGCTCTCAAATGTCTGTGACTGTAGATTTATAGTGTGTTTATTGTTATATTATTATAATGCTCTGGAGAGATAACCGTCTCTATGATATGACTCTACGTGGTTGTAGAGCCACAGTAGCCATATGATGCTATGGAACAGTTTATCCCTCCACATGCAGTAAGTCTGCTCCCTCTGTTGACATTTTTCAAATCTTGGTTGAAAACCCATCTCTTCTCCTTGGCCTTTAAATCCAATTGAGATCAATACAGCATCATCAGTGCTTTGACTTTATGTGTCATTCCTCTATTGCCCTTGTGTCTCTGCTGTTATGTTTATATGCGTTTATCTGTTGACTGAATTTGTGCTACACTTTGGTCAACATTACTTGTTATTTAAATGTCCTCTATAAATGCAGTGAATTTGAATTTTAAATGTCCCTTATCATTAGAAGGTGTACTCTATCAAGATCAAGCTAAAATAAAGCTCTTTATACAAGCTAAAATAAAGTACCAAATTCATTTTAGGACGGTTTAAAATGTAAATAACAACATTGCTTTAATGTTTAACAGACACAATTCAACTACTTAACTGAATATAAAAAGATCTCACAGACAATAATTGATAAGAAGTGACCAGTGCAGGTCTAAATAGAAGTAGGGTCACTATAAAAGTACAGTCATCAGTTAAATCAGATGTAGTGTTGGAGCAGAAGCCATGCCTGCATGACAGTTCATGGCACTCTGTGTAGAAACCACTTAATAATACAAAATGAAGTATCCAATGTTAACAAGTATCACAACTTAAGAGCAAGGGGTTGGTGCTACAGCTGCCATTTTTTAGCTTACATTCAACACTCATAATGCAGGAGAACATATATGATTGAAGAGGCGAGAGATAACCCAAACTCAAAAGCAAAATAACAAACCAGCATTGTATATAGAAGTGATCTCAATGTTGAGGGGAACAGAAGCAACACATGGGGTGTGTTGAAGTTTTACAGGTGAGTACAGACAAGTCATTCATACTCACAAGGGCAATTTGTCTCTCAAGGAGAGTGTCAACTCAGTCGCAAACAGATGAATGCTTTGCCTGAGGCGACTGGATGGGTTAGTTCAAAAGCATGCTGGAGAATAATATTTACGCCTTAGGAGTCAGCGTGAGCATCACAATGTCAAAATGTAGGCTTGTCAGGTCTCCATTCACTGTCCCACAACCTTTCTCCGACAAATATTGAAATCTAGTATTTTAAAATAGCAGCAGGTTTGAAACACAGAATGGTGTCTAAATTCGATATGTCCAAAGTTGAAATTTGTGCACATTTGGGAAATTAATCCATAGAAAAATACCACCATCCACAATATTTTTCAAGGCAACAATCTGAGGATCAGAAAACTATTACATCCAAAGTGACAACAGGGAAATCCTAAAAATAGCCTGCTTGATCATTTATTGATTGTTCAGTCAATCAAAATTACTGCACACAACACCCATGTGAGTAGAACATTTAAAACCCAATTGACTACACAAAATACTTTTCATGGTGCAATACTGAGTATATTTGAAATTGATTTGGTCTCTTGGTAGGTGGATGTAGAGCTGCTCTTATTTTTAAGTACTTTTATCCCATGATAATTTACAAATAGTGTAAAAAAAACAACAATGATAGACTGCCAAGAAAACAATTTTGTTTTGCCATGTCCCATATGTGTTATATAATTTATTTGAATTTTTCTTAGCTTGTTTTTTTAGGACAATAGTGATTATAAACAATAAAAATGAAAATGGATTACCTCAATCTTTTCAGTTGTCTGTTGGAAAGTACATAAAAACAACGTGTATTAACAATTATAACAGCACTTGTCAGAAAACATAAAGGTACACAGCAACACTGACTTAAGGATGCACAGAACAGTAGAAAAACTGAACGCAGAGGACAAAAAGCATACATGGAACAACAAAGCTCCGATCTGTCAAACACTGTACAGTCAAGATTAAGGACAAAATGTCAAGCAGGAGACGCAAGAAGGAAAATATAAATAAACAAGACAAGCCAGTAGGACAAGAGAGTCAGCAGAACAGCGAAAACTGACATTGTGATGACCACAACTGTATGTCATTAATCATTTCAGCTGCACTGTAAAGGAAGTTTTTGTTGTTCTAGTACTAATAAGATTATTCAGCTCACCTTGATAGGGGACCATCCGCTTACATTATCCTCTGAAGACAAAATAAAGAATACCCTGGCAACAACCTGATGGTGTTACTCGAGTCTGAACCAGCCTTGTCTTGTTTTGTTTTAGATATATATTTTAAGAATCTCCACAGAAATCCTCAATAAAAGTATCTAATTGTGATATAAATGCATAATAAATTGAGCTTTCAAACCTTTTATTGACACATTTACCCAAACATTACTGTTTCAGTAATGTTACCAATTTCACCTGCTACTGTCATAATGTGTCTTTGTCTTTGTGTATCTTTTGCTCCAACTCAATCATAATTTCTTTAGCTGCTGAAATAACAATATTTTTCACAAGATCTGAATATCCAGATGGTGTGTTAGGATTACACTGTTGGGATTAAGGAAACCAGATAACTCAAAGAGAGTCTGGCTATGTCGAACTCAGAGGGAAAAGTGGACATCTGGTGGGAAAACCCAGGAATAACAAAACAAAAAAAGAAAAGTGTATGTTCATCAAAACTTTGTGTTGCTAATATTTCATCCTGCAGATTATTTTTCTCTTTATTACTGCCCATTATTAGGGCGCAGTGGGCATAACTCATATCATCAGTGAACCACTCACTGTTGAGAAAATTATTAAAAAAAACCCAAGTACAATTATCACAGGCTGTGGTCAAGTATCTGCTGTTTGTTAGAAACATGTTTTATAGTAAGAGTGGGCCTGTTCCTCTGACATTTATTACATTCCTGATGAATTATCATGGAAAGCAAAGTGATTCCGATGCTGTATTTTACAATGCTCAGTGCATTAAGATTCTTGTCAGGGCGTTGCCTTCATCTATATTGGAGTCCTGAAGGAATTATTAAGTATTATTTATGAATAATAACTATTAGAGAACTGGTTGGTGAGAAAGCAGGTTTCTCCTTTATTTTATTACTCCAAAATAAAATTTGAGATGAATCCAGTTGTCTGGCTAACTAATCTTTATAATTTCAGTTTATTAGACCACTATCTGGTTGATCTATTTTCTTTCAAATTATGCTTGTTATTCTTTCGTACTTGTTTTTAGACTTTGTCATAGAATCTCTGCTATGGTTAGGACTACCCTCGTGTTATTGTGTTGCATTTATAGGACCGTAGGGACTTTATGCTGAGTTTAACCTGCTAATCTAGCAATAGAGTTTATTGTTTCACTCTGCCTTGTGCCTTGGTCTTGTGATCCTGTGGCTTTCAGTAAACTTTGTACTTTCAAATATCTATTTGCCTCTCAGTGCTGGTGTCCTCACTTCACATTCCTGGCATTTATTAGAATTGTTAATAGTGACATGCTTGCCTTGATAGGACTAATAAATGTATCAATTTCCATGCACAACTCAAACATGGCATTGTGAAAAATTACAGTAAAAAATGAATGGTAGCCTCTGGTGTGTCTGTGGTTTCAATTCTGTGAAACTCATTTTTCCCAGGAGCTCATAATTTACTTCAGCTTGTAATAAAATCATTAAAACCGATATCTTGTGTGAAATGATTAATATGTTTGATAAGTAGCCACATAATGAGAAGGATAATGCAGCTTCAAATTGCTAGTGATCACAGATAAAGCCCTTGGCTCATGCTGTTGTGTGGTCAGGTGCTCTCAAAGGATTTGGACAAATGCATTCTGTAAAATACAGTAATATATTTAGGATCCCCAAAGAGTGTGGATGAAAGCGCTGAAGAAACAGAGGACGTATTTACAGACTGTACACACTTTTATTGCGAAAACAAGTGATGATAATTTGATCATGGCTTTTCATAGCTGTATGTAAAGTCCATTTGTTGTCACTTTTGTAGCCTGTAGTTTATAAAGGAAAAAGGATCCAAAGCTCAATACGTCCTCATCGGGGTGTAGTCACACTGCCTTGTATTATCCACACATGA